ACCCTACAGCCTGCGAAGAATATGCCTCCCAAGTGTCGGCCACGCAACGTAGCCCTACAGCCATGTACATACATGTCCGTCCCTTTGCCGTTAAATCTTTGCTCAGTTGGCTGCTAGCACTGCCACTAGCGCCAAGGCAGGTATTCCTTTTCAATATGCATGGTCGCTGGTATTGCCGAACCACAATGCCGCCATTCCAACACAACTACAGTCCCAATTTCCAAAGAACAAGCAGCACCAACTGCTGCATGAACGTGAACGGATTCTCGTGAAATTCGTGACTGTACAAAGCTGAGACTAGAAACCGCAGAGGATCTGCAAGTTCTCCCGCTCTCCCACTGCCCGTCCCGAATGTCGTGACAGACATCGTCACAAATATATCCCCCTACCAATTTCAATACGCTTTCAGCCCAGACCAACCAAGTGTCGCGCATGGAGCTCGTCCGATGCCTTCCATCGTCCTATCTTTGGCCCATCTGCAGCTCGTGTCCACGGTCCACCATGTCCAAGCTCGGTCCATTTCACCCAGTTTCATCATTTCTTAGTTGCGCCCTTTTGACCGTGACTCTCCTCTCGGCCTCGCTTGGACGTTCGTGCCGGTCCAATACTGATTTACTGCAAAGCCTTGAGCATACAAAATACGTGCCCCTGGAAACATCGAGTATGAACCGGGCAAAACCGCCGAGCACTCCAAATCATCACAGCCAGGCAGGGGCTTGCAGTGGCAAAGGAAAAGGTCAGTATAGCAGTACCGTCCATTCTACCCAAAGCATGGGGAAGCCGAAGACATTTTAGGCTTCCTTGGGGCCTTTAATTGCTTTTGAGCCCCGCTAAAATGTTCCTTCGAGGATGTTGGGATCGTGATGCGCCATCCCTTTCTTGGAAACCCCGTGCCTGGTCACATTTGCCTTGCTCACAATCCACCCCTTCTGCCAGCTTCCTTTTGCCCATCTATGCACGCCATGTTGTCGTGTTGAATCCTCATGGCCTCAATCTTCTTGGAAATATCCATCAGCGCCGTGGCAGGACTGACAATTTCCGGTCGACGTGAAGCCAGGTCCGCGATGATGGGTGGAGGCCTTTCCGGCGACAGAACCAGGAATCGCTTCGACATGGGCATACTCCCAGGGTATGCAGGGATATTCGCGGCACAGGTAGCCTTCCGGTCGTGCGGGCGGGCGAAACTGCAGCTCGAGCAGACCGAAGCATCTGCGCTTGAAGCCTCTGGGATTCGGATGGGTTTGTGGTGTTGGTGTTGTCGACATTTCGGCAGTGTGTTTGGCATGAACTTGTGCTGCAGCATTGTGGAAAGCAGGAGAATGTCGTCAAGGATGGGTTCGTTTTCGGGCTTGTGGAAGATGCTGCCGATCGCATCATTGGTGCCTTGGCCACTATCGGAAAGGAAGGCAGGAAATCGGAGTGGGGAGAGGGGGTAATATACTATTCCAGCAAACATATGTCCCGTTGCTTCGGCCGAGTCTTAATCCGAGTTCGAGTCGATGATCAAGGTCGACGCTGAGGCTGAGCTTGAGGTCAAGGTGGAGAAGGTCGAGACGTAGGCCGAGGTCAAAGCCACGTCGCGATAGCCTGGCGCGCAAGCGGCGTGCGCGTGAGCTTCGTTGGAATCTGGTAGCAAGTCTGAAGAAAGACCGTTCTTCCTTCGGTCCACAGGTCGCACGACGGCGTGAAGGAGGAGACGTGCAAAATTCCTGTTGTGATGGACGTTGGCGAAAGCGAAGAGGTCTGATGTAGCAAGCCTCGGAGCGACACAAGCCTGCCCTGGCCAAGTCGAAACAACGTTAGAAGCCGTTCCTTTGCCAAGCACATCGCATCAGCCATCCGTTCCTACTCTCTGGCAGGGATATCTCCAGCTTCCGGTGTGCCTTCTTCAGATGAGGTGTCTCAAGCGTCAACTCCTGCCGTCTGGCCTCCAAGATGGACGTCACGTTCTCCAAGTACCTGCTCCATGAGATGTGTGAATACCACATTACGTCAGATGTGTCTGGGTACATCTGATGTAAGCGCGCCGGAAGCCTATCAGATGCAGATGTCTCCATGGACCTCACGGGCTCAGTGCCAGATTGCATCAGATGTCTCTACCTACATCTGACGAAGCCACCCTAAGCCCAACAACCACACCTCTGAAGAACCGCTACTCAAAGTCGTCTACTCTCCTCCGCGGCTTTCCCATTCCTGCTTCCACTCCGAAATATCCCTTCCTAGGCAAGAGTCGCGATTGACTGCAAACGACGACCTTCCCGGTGCTCACCCCTCGCCGCCTCAAAGAGCGTGACATCTGCTTGCGCCAGTCCCGCCAGCTCGAACTACACAAAGCCGCTGTCATTATGATTGAAAGCATCGGCCTGCTGTCGCTACGCTGTGAAGCTCACAACCTCGTCGAACATACTCCGGAAATGCTCAATGCCCCATGTGCTTCTCTTGCTTCGATATTGCAGCCGTCTATTCCTGCACCCTGCGCCCTGCGCCTGCGTCCGTCTATGCCCACACCTTTCGTTGACCCTGAGGGCTGCTGCTCTGCATCTATAACCTCCCCGGGAATATATCTGATTAGCTGTCCGTGACGCCATCAGGGGTGAACAGCGTCTCCGTGATCAATTGTCCAGACTGCGGAAGCCTGAATATACCATTTTGTATTCTGGGTTGTCAGCCCACCGCGAAGAAAAAAGCCAGAACCCCAGCACTTTGGTGGTCTGGCGGGGAAGAAGAAATGCCAGAACGCTCCAGTGACGTAGCGTTCTGGCGAAAAAAAAAGCCAGAACCTCAGCACCTTGATGGTCCGTCGAAAAAAGCCAGAACGCTCCAATGGTGTTCTGACAAAAGCAACCCATCACCTTGGTGGTCTAACGGAGGCCAGCACTTAGCCAGGTCACCAAAGAACCAGGAAGCCGCCTGATCCCGCGGTGAAAATAATGTTCCCCACGCCAGGCCTAAGTGTTTATTCCGCCGTGCTCACGTTCTTCAATTTTCGAGTCTTGTTTGAAGAATCTAATTTGATAACATATGTTCCCCCTTTATTTCCAGATTGCCACCGTGAAAACGCCGATATGCGGATGCTTACATCGTGATGTCTCTCTCACCCCTGATGACGAGGATTATGATGCCTCCGATGACTCCTCCTATGTCAGCAACCAAGGAGGTCGCTCAAACACTCCTGGAATCGTGATCGAAGCTTTCTGCGAAGATGAAGATGTCAGAACCGGATACGACGAAGGAAACGATGACGATAACGAACTTCTTTGCGAAGATAATGACTCCAATGTAAAAGATCAGAGAAAGCTCTTGCAACGTACACGGATTCTTCGACTTGGTACGAACAGCAGGAAGGAATGCGGAATAAAGAGGAAAGGTTCGCTGGGCAGATACTGGAACGTCTTCCGACTCATCTTCAAGAGAGCCGGGGACGACAAGGTTGATCCAAAGCTGAACCGTAGCATGCACTCAGAAGTTACGCGCACTCTTAGCTATATCGAGAGCAAATCGTACACCTGTAGACGTGATGCTGTCGGCGACGGATGTGTGCGGGCGAGCATCGCAATTGATTTTAGTGGGGCGTTCCATTGCATGTTTGATGTTCCGCCGCATCACAGAAGGATGGGAAGTCAAAAGAGGCCCAGGGCCAACACCTCTGGTGCAGTTATGCATTGCCCCTGAAGGATCGCATTGTCTTTCCAACCTATGTGTCCCAATGTGTTCTTGATCGACGAGAATGGTTTTTCTAGTAAAGCCAACTTCATTCCACCTCGCCGTGCTGGAGCTTGAAGGAGCTCATACTTCTCGAGACCTGGGAAATGGGTGGCATAATCCTCCCATGACATATCTTTTTCTCTCTCGTTTGCGTCCCCAATAATGTACATACCCTGGTTGCTGCTGAGCTCTAAAGCCCGGATCCCATGTTGATCATCAACTGTTTGATCGTGTACTGAAGCAGTCCATCCTGCTTAATGTCATGTCGAGTTGAGATTTCAAACTTGCAGATCGGTGATATCTATGTGAACATGCAGCATTTCCGCTACATCAGGCATTCAAAGCCTTTCCTGGCTGGTGAAGCTGACGAGACCGTTTACAGCCCATCCCCACCAGGCCGATTGATGCTGCAGTAGAGTAAACGGGCCAATTCTGGCTGCTAATGAGATCTCTAGATTATCCATGTGATTCTCTTTGGTCTCGACTTTGCCTTCGTTCTCGACAACGTTGGCGATGTAGGCGAATATACCGGGCCTGAGAAGTTCATGCACGAGCAAGCACATTGCAAGTGAGAGCCAGATTGATGCTTTGGAGTCAGCGAAAACTTGTTGAACAAATAACCGTACGTACTGCCGGCTTTGTTGAATGGTGTTCTTCTGTTCCCTTTGCGGCATCTTTCTTCCTTGAAGATGCGTGTTTTCTGAGAGCCACGATCCCAATTTCTGATATATCGTAGTCCTCTTGGCCGTTAAGCGGCAGATTCGATTCCGGGGTTGCTATGCGATGAAAGATAGTGCTGCTATGGGAGGCCTTCTGCTTGTCCAGGTCCTGGCGGTTGAGGTCGGCGACCTTGCCCCCGGGGAGTCGATTCAACATCTACATAGGCTGATGCATGATCAACCCGGCAAATATGATGACCTAAATCTGAATACCTCCGATCATGATCTTGACGCAAGACGATTTTCGCAATAACGAAGTCAATAGCAGAGATGAAGCCGCGCAAGAAAGGGTGACCAAGCACGCTATCGAGGAAACTAAGACGCACGATAAGTTGTCGAAATGTGGAATGATTCTCAGCCTTGGAAACATTTGAGCCGGTGCCAGTAGCGATGTTACATGGTTGAGGAAGGGCTGGCTGACGTCTTTGTTCAAGAAACACTGATTGAATCAAAACTTGGCTACATTGAGCCACTACCAATCCCTTCGCCTCTGCTGTATTATTTTGCCTTATTTGGTCATCACTTTTTGAAAACAAAGCGTGAAGTAAAAAATGGATGTTTCAGGAGAAGAATTGTTCAAGGAGAAGAGTTGTGCGAGTGAAACTCGCGATCCATGATCATGCGGTGCTTTCGACCTCGCAGGACCGGCTCTAGGGTATTCAAAGACAGCGTACACTTGTACCCGCTTGCCCTCTCTCGAAGGTACGCGCAAGCCCAGAAGTCATAAATGTTGATCGGATAAGTTCGCCTTGGTTTTGAAATGCACGAAGTCGGGCACTTCTTTGTGAAGTGCAAACAAACGACAGGAAGCGGGGATAACAACTTGTCGCGTCGTATTGAATGTGTTGACGCCGGTAGACTGCCAGGTACAACAGTCCAAGAGGACACATGTGCCCGCTGGCGCGGTGGCGGCAACTGGAATTCATTTGATAACAATCGGTCAGATGACGTTCAAGGTCAGGAAATGTTCATGCTTTCGGGGCACTCACGACTTGGTTGAAAGCAGAAAGTGCGACATGCTTGTTGTGAGAGCCGGGATACATGCGCGTGGCGCCTCTCTCCTCTGCAATGTCGACTGATAACCACGTATTATTTAGCAGGTACGGATGGTTGAATGTCTCGGGTATCAGTCCCATCTAATCCATGTTCATGTAGGCGCCAGACTTCGCCGGTCGAGCGACATTCGCGCCCATAAAATGAATCTTGAAAGCATTACCCAAGAGCCAAAGCATGATTGTATCGACCGGAGAATATTTGAGTAGATCCAAGAACTCAGCTTCCTTGATAGGAAGTCTCCTATTCAGATTAGTCGCTTGATGAGGCAATATGGCATCGAACGTAATTCAACTTACCACACGCGCTGGTCTGGCTGCTCGTTTGCTTCCATGTGTGCACCATCTTTATAGGCCACGCCAGCCACCCGCTCGCCCGCCGCTCACTCTGCAACAGCAGTCCTGAGCATCTCGACCTTTTGGGGCGGGAAACATCTTTCACCATAGTGTAACCCCATTTCCCGAGACCACGCTTGATCTGGTCTACATCTTCAGTGGGTTGAGCCAAGAACTCCTGGTTTGGTTCCTCTGCATTCACAACCATAGCTGAACGTCCACCAGAAGAAGTACACCCGCCGTGGAGGCTGAGCACGCTTTCCGAAAGATCGAACGGCTTGCATGCAGCCTTCGATTACGTCTAAGATCTTCAATGAGGACGAGCCGGACCGCGCGCACGTCGCAGCTTGGTCGCGTCAGCATTGAAGACACTTTTCACGGGCCGTGATGGCGGCGAGGAGCTGTAAGAGAAGTCCAGATGAGCTTGGAAGCCAGCGGAAAGACTGCGCGAACCCTGGATAGCGGTCGTTTCTAAAGAGAGGAGTGTTCAACTGATGACATTCGTCAGCACGCATGTTAGGAGACACTCTGATTCAATGCGGCCTTTGTTCTGCGACCTGATGACTCGATCAATTGATCTTCTGGGAAATATTTCTTCGAGAGGTCGGTACCTGCCTACCTTGCTCAGGCCGGCCCACCGTCCTTGCGTGCAGCCCGATCCCACCAGCCAGGTTGAGCACGGCACGTTGAGTGACACGGGAGACACAGGCAGAGTGACCAGGAGCTTCGGGAGGATGTGTGAAGACTGGCGGCGATGTACAGTCATAACTGTGCTACACCGGGCGGTGCTGATAACAGAGGACGTGCCAAAACGTTGATCCTTGCCTGGACATCGCTGAGAACCAGCTCGCCAGCGCCGATCTGTTCCATGCGAGGGGCAAAATAAGAGACCCCTTGCCCGTGTACACCCACTTTGTGACGTAGGCGTCATCTCCTTTTTTATTTGAATCCATCTTTACTTTCATTCTTCGTTTTATCAAACTCTCTTAGCGAGTTGACTTAATCAACACATCAGGATCCAGGGGTTGAACAACAGACCTTGGAAGAAGCAGGACTTCGAAGATCGTACTGAAATTTCCAACGCTGCTGACACTCTCTTCAGAATTTTTCTCGGGCTTGGTAAAGTGGGCTGCACCGCTGACAACTGCCTGCGATCGTTCCGCGCAGAGTCCGTTTCCGGCCGCCTGCAGGAGTCCCAAGAGTTCTGCAAGTCGTTTCTGAGCGGCCTATTTTTGTGTTGTGCAGCTAACTAGCTGTGTTGAGAGAGACCTGGATCAACGAGTACCCGTTATTGTCCTTTCCAGCAACCACAAGCATCAGCATCGGCTCCTTGGCCGGAAACAGCAGAGTGTGTGCATATTTTCCAAACGCTAGAATTCTTGAACTTTGCTACTTTTAACATCTCATACCATAAACACTCTGCGAACCTTGGAGCTTGTCGTGACGGCATAATGCTACCGTTGTTGTGGTTGGCAGCGGCATTCTGATTGTTGTGACGGAGGGACGGCTCAAAGGCGGTACCGAGGAGTAGTCGGGAACGACTCTGCTCTTCGCCTGCACCCGCTTGGGCCGTCCCGCGCATTCAAGTCGGCTGCTTTCTCTAGAGCTCTCATTTCCGCAAGGTGGATGGTCGCTGGCCAACTTGCGTAAGGACGGGTGGAGAGATTCAAAGTCCCAGCCGGACTATTAGTGCACTCGAGAGCGCCCTTCAGGGAACTGTTTAGTTGCTTCTAGGGATGGGTCTAGTGAGTGAAGCCAAGCCAAAAACAAACGTCTAGGTCTCAACTGGTGAGTATGTATCTGTACCAGCAAAACGTGTCTCTTCTTGGCTCACTGCCGTGCCCTAGGTATCCGAGGTTGGCGTCATTGCACTTGCAGATAGCCGGCGTAGGCAACCTCGCGATGGAGGATGTCGGACTGAGGGTTAGACCGCCCTAATGCTTTGCGAGACATACCAGCGTTCTGATGCTCGACGTTAATAATCAATCGTCACTCTATAATTGTAATGGCTCCTCGAGTCAAAGGTGAACACCTGCTGATGCATGCCGACGAGGATCCTGCCATCACATCCGCTTCATCCACCGCGAAGGGCCACCGCCGAATTTGCATCAGCATATCCATCAGGCGCAGGACGTGACTAGTTAGCCAGCCGGCTTGGCGGCCTAGGATGGGGAAAGATATGCTCATGTTTTCGCCCGTGGTGACAAGATGTGTTGAGAGAACCGGGGTGCACCGAGGAATGGATCACATGGTGACCACAAACAGCTTGTTTAAACAGCTGCTCAAGGATATTGGCTGATTAAGACTCTGTATGAAGGGAAAAGAGACGAGTTGAGCAGCGCGAGGGAGGCCTGCGATAATTCAATGCGGTCGGCGCGTGGGCTTTTGAAGCATGGAGTCACAGAGCTCAACGCAGCATTCAACCGGTTAAAAGCCTTGATCCAAGAGTCAAATTCATGTGAACAAGATTCAAAGAGGCCAGAGCTAGCAGTCAATCCAGAATGCTTAGTATTCAGGGCGTTGGTTCATCCTCCTCTGCAATGCACTCATACTTTTCGATGATATTCATTGAAGCTTTAAGACACGCCCAGCAGGTCAATGCGGCCTCTGCAACCATTTTACCAACTTCGCTGCACAATTCAAAAGTTAAAACAAGAAAATGCAGGCCAAAAATGAAGAACAAGCGGTGACCATAAATCGCTTTGACGTTTTGCGCCGTGGTCCGGCATTTTTGCCTCATAGCCTCAGCATTTCTCGTCGACAAAAACACGAAAACGACAAACATCCTACTTATTAGGATATCCCCCTGCCACATCTGTCAGACCTGGTCTCTCACCGTCTGCCCTTTCCAATAGCTGTCGGTAATAAGCACCAAATAGCTGCGTCGCGTAAAGTCTTGTTGTTCTTCTCCATGAGGCAGCGTATACGACAACCAGGAAATCTGTCCACACACAACAAGTTCCCACACCCGCTGGCTCTCGGGCTTGGGCACGTCCACGAGCTTCACCAATCATCGAATACCACCAAGTGCGCTACCGGCCGGCTGCTTGATCGACGTAGAGGCGCCGGTATAGATTGCTACCTTGGAAGTTCTTGAAAATTGACGGTGTAGATCTCAACAACGAAGATGCATGGCGTACGGCGAATCGGGGCAGTCAGTGCGGACGTCCTTGTCCAAATTGGTTGCTGCTGAGCCTCGGGAGGGCGCATCGAAACAAACACGGAGTGTAACAGAAACCAGGAGTCAGCATTTCAGAAGTTTTCCCAGCCGACGAAACATGGGAAACACTAGAGTGCAGAGAGGTGAGCGGAGGGGACCACTTCGAGAAGGAACAATTAGATGAACCAAGTGCTTGACAGATTGCGAGAGGACACGAGAAATCCGCTTTGCGCTTGGCACGAATAACACAAGCCTCGATGAAGTTCCATGCAAGGGATCCTCCCGAAAGTATAAGCTCTCAGGTTCCCACCCAAAAAGAGAGAAACTACGCTCGGAACAATTATGTCGGCCGGGTTTTGGTGCTGCTAATTTGAGAAGCCGAAGTTTGCCTATTGAGTGTGGACAGAGCACTTGAAGAAATCCGCTTCGTCGGCCCCATGTACAACTGCAACAAGACCCGCTGCGGCGCCAACAGGGATCTAGGTCGCCCACCCCCCGGATCGGTCGGCCTGGCCGTCACTGAAGATGTCAACCGCATCGAGGCCCTTCGGGCCCTTCCTCAATGAAGGCGTCTAGCGCGAGACCGGAGCAGGCTCCGGCGCGGGCGCGCGAGCGGGCTTGGGCTCGCCGAAGCTCCTATTCCTCCTGCGGAAGCTGCAGTTCCGCTCCTAATGAAAATCGAATATTGAATTGTTCTCAGTATTTCATATCTCATGGCGTCAAATCCTTCAAGCAAAATCATAGTAAGACCATCTCTATCTAGGCAGTCAAAATAACGGCGTTCTACGAAAAGTAAAAAAGCATGTCCTACACTTCCCTTTCTCTCTTGATAGTGGAGGCTCGGTCAATAGCTTCGAGAAGGGCGGTCAAGAAAGCCTTTACCGGGGTGGGGAAGCTGCATTCAACGCCTTACACAACAGGGATTTTGGTCCAGAATAGGAAACGCCGCTTCTTGTATTTCTTGCCCTCTCCACACCCGAAAGGACGTTGCCGCTCCTGTTTCCTCTGTCGGTATGCGCTTAGAATGTGACTGGTCGTCATTCGATTTGATCGGCATCCGTGAGCTCGAGCTTCACGTCGAATCCGCGTCACCAAGTCCACAGAGCACGAAACAGAAGTCATTAGCCAATGTTTGGCCTCCCCAGGCCAGAATCACCAGGCATGTCGTGGGCGTTGTTCATGCACAGCTGGGCGTTTTTGAATGTAATAGTCCGGTCTGTTGTTTCACAGGGGCCCTCGAAGGAATTCACGTCCTCTCTGAGTTTATCGTGTTAAGCGTACAAATCCGCCAGACATGTATCGAACACATACGTAACCCCGTTGAGGAGAAAGAAGCCCTAGTCTTTGAGACTTGAGTGGCATTAGCTGGCAACAAAGCGAAGTGAAGGAAGGCAGACGATGCTGGGCCGGAAGCGGAGCTCTCTCCCTTGATGTTGCCCATCATGATGGGGACGCCATGGGCGATTCTCTAGAGACAGCATCCACATCTCCTCGTTGGCGAGAGATGTGTTCAAACACTTGCGGAGAAACCTCATAACACAATCCCAGCGTGCATTCTTCTTTTCGCGATCCCAACAACGGTAGTTTGTTGAGCTGCCACCTCCCCCTCTCGCTGAATCGCAAGAACGTCTACAACGCCCGTCCACCATGTCGACGAGAGACGCCGGCTACGGTGGGGCTGCTGGAAGCGCTGGATGCTGGCGGCGCGCATGCCCGACTACAATCATTTTACTTCTGATCATTTTTGGTGGACCATTTAAGTCTGGGTATACTGGATGGCAAATCGTACACACGATGGCACCCAATCAATACAGAATGGCTCTTGCTTATGATTCCGTAATGACAAGGCG